AAAATTTTGTGAGCCAACAAAAAAAAAAGCTAAGTCCATTCCTAAAATAACATTTAAAGGAACCAAAAAATCTTATAGTAATGTGACTGTTGAAGCTCCCACTTAAGAAAACATCTATTGCTTGCAAAAATGAAAAAAATTCTTGAATGGTAAATAATTCATCAATACGCAACAGTTTTCAAAAATGGTTGCAGAAAAAGTTGCATTATGTCCAACAGCTCCAAGGGAAATTGACAACACATTTTGCAACAATTTGTAGAAAGGTTGTCTTTTCCCTTACATACTTCAAAGTTGCGAAAATTATCTAGCGGTCTTCAAAAAATTGTTTCATCTTCATTTCTTGTTACATTTTTGTACAAATAAGTTATTTCTAAAAACTAATATATTTCTTACAAAAATAAACAAAAAAACTAATCTATTTAATTATTACATACCATATGAATATATAGATATTACAACCATTTTTTTAACAAATCAACAAACACAACACAAGGGTCCTTGGGTAGTTTATGTACATCATACATATAAACATATACATAAAACAAACTTTGTTCTTCTAAGACAACTTTAAATGACAAAATATGTATGAAAACTTTTTTCAAATAAAATAACAATTATAATGTTGTCATAGAAATATGTATGAATTCATTTTCTTACAAAAACAAGTTATCCATATTTTCTAAAAACTAAGATTTTCAAAAATCATAAAATCTAACCAAAATTGCAAGGATGGATCTGATACCAATTGTTTTTTTTTTTTTTTTTTTTTTTTTTTTTTTTTTTTTTTTTTTTTTTTTTCAAAATGAGTTTCAAAACCAAAAGATTTTAGCAATGGAAGACTTTAATGTTTTGAGCAACATAAAACAAGTTTATAGCCCTCCAAGGATCTTCTTGCAAAGTTTGGAAAGAAAAAAATAGTCAAAGAAGAACATAACAACCTTTGTAGTCTTTGAAACCTCAAATGGAGGTTAGGAAGTTGATGGAGAATTGATGAACCTTTGAGACACAAAAAATAATCCAACTTGAGGATGATGCTAGTCTTTAAACTCTTAAGCTCTTAAGCTTTAACTTTACAGTCAATGTATGAACTTAAAGAGAGAAAAAATGCAAATGCTTTTTTTAGTGTAAAAACAAAACACAAGAGAGAATGAGTATTCCAAGCATACTCATAATTTTGGCATAGGAAAAGATAAAAAAAATGAAAGCCTTTCATGCACGCTCTTAGAGCTAAAACAATACACACGAGTCCTTAACCAATCAACATCTCATGTCATAAAAGGATTTTGTTCCCCATGCCTTTAAGAACTAGCCATGTTTTTTATTAAACAAATCAATAGGTCATGCTTATTTTATTCTTTCTTCTAAAGATATATAAAAGAAGACAAAAATTTATAAATTTTGTAAACTTCTTTTATAAAATATAAACTTTGGCTTTTGGCTACAATAAAAAAGGTTTTCAAGTCCAAAATAATGTACATGACTTAATAAATTATACCATGTGATATGTTATGTAACTTGTTAATGAAAAATTATTATTACAAGAAATAAATAATTTACAATTAATTATAATAGTTTATTGAATATTTATTACAATCAAATTCCAATAAATAATTAATTGTATCAAGTTATTGTTAGTGTGACCCATTTGTATCATATCTTAACTAACAATATCATTTTAATATGACTCTTAAACATACACGATCATTCTAAGTAACATATCTCCGTTTCATATTTTATGACACACACTGTTGTACCTTGTCGTACGCAAAACTTCGTGATATATATTTTTAATGCACTAGTTTTAAATTTATGATTCCTAGTCTATCACATCTAAACCACAACTTACAGACAGTGAACTTGATCGAGTATAATATAGTTTTGATAAGAAAGAGTGTTGAGATCAAGGGGAACGGTAGTGAATTAACATTAGAATATTTGATTATATGTTACAAATAAACGAAAGCAATAAAAAGGGGGTTTTGTTATAAAAGTTCAATTACAACAACAACTAAACTAACTTGATAAAGTGAATGGAAACAAATCAATACATATACTTTGGTTTATGACTAGCATCATGGTCAGATTACTAATCCTTTGATTTTAGCAAATCTATTAACTCAGTGATCAAGTGAATAAATAGTCATGAAAATCAGTGTTTAGCTCAAATTATGCAAGACTTGAATTATAAACTGATATTAATGATCATAATACCAATTATATACATGAATGGTCATCACATATAAGCTCACATATTAAAGTTACCAACTTTTCTATTTAACCCTAGGTTTATGGTCAAAATCCTAGTCATACAAATCCAATATGATTTAAGCACATCAAGCTAGAGTGAATAATCTAATCCTAATAATACTTAGAAATAAATAGAAAAGATTGAAACTTTAACACATGAAGATCTTTAACAAGAAAACTTAATAAATGAAATTAGAATAAATAATCCGGATAACACATTAATCCATAATCTCAATGATTGATCTAGTCTAACACAAAGCAATAGGGGTTTGAAGACCTAAATCAGAAAGTAAAACATTGATAGAATCGCATGGAATGCTAATCATGGTCAAAACAGCAAACTGAATGATTCTTGTCATGAATCAACTTTTCTATTTAACCCTAGGATTATTTTTTAGATATATCATTAGGGTAAATTTCCAACTCTATTTATAGGTTATAACGAAATCACAACGTGGGAAAAGACTTGCTACGTCGTGGGAAATGGAATCTTCACGTATATAAAATTTTCTGATTTTCCACGTTTTGGAAATAGCTTTGCCACAACATGGGAATTGGGAATCAAAATTTTGAAAAACCACGAAAGTCGTCCGAAAATTTGTCTAGTTTTCAGAACATCTTGAATCTCTGCAATCGGAATTAAGAGTCATGAGATATGTCTAAAACACTAAAGAGCGGTCAAGCTACCAACATCTTTTTTTGCATCTTTTTCAACTCATTTCTACTCCTTTTGCATTCTACCTCCAATTTGATCATAAATTGAACATCTCAAAGTATATTAATTACCATATATCTTAAAATATAGTATTTTTACTCAAATATATTAGGATAATGCCCTAAAATACATAGTTAAATAAGGCCATATGACTTCAAAAAATCATATATTCCTCATTCAATGTCTGATTTTTGCGTTCTTTATACTCACGACTTCGTAATTACTATATATATATATATATATATATATATATATATATATATATATATATATATATATATATATATATATATATATATATATATATATATCACATTTATATAAACTTATATCATGTTTGAAGATTTTTTATTCATCTATTAATAAGAAAATTTACATTATTAGCTAATATAAGTACATATTTTTCTACAAAATATCTAGCAGAAAACGCAGGTGTTACACTACACCTAGCTCCAAAGCTAAACATCTATGAATTGTTTTTAGGAATTACAACAGTTTTTAAAGCTATTTTTTTGCTTTATATATTATTTTCAAATTCAATAAAATACAGGTTTGACATTCTAAGAGTATAAATTACGTTTATAATTAAATGAAATTTTAATACCTTTTTAAAAATAATAACAAGTTACAAAAAATCAATAAAAATGTATTTTTTTTTGTCATATTATATAATTCACTTTTTAATTTCTTTGAAAAATCTAGAAACCAAATAGAAAAGAGATTTCATTTAATGTCAACCAAACGCATAACATATTTTAATTCCTCCATATTACAATTGATATATTCCATTTTTTCCAAAAACATTAAATAGATAAAATATCCTATTACACAGAAGATAAACATGTCATCAATGTATTTCCTAAAGGTGATGAGCATCCCACATAGTTTGTGGATCACTTTATATGAGAAAATATTTTGGTAAACAAGACATACTATTTATGAATTATGTGGTCATTTGCTTATGGTTCCTATTTTTTATTGTTTGGAGAAATATGGTCATAGAAAGAAAGATATAATTGTTGCATGTGCACTATTGATATATCCCTTATCAAACCTTTTTTCAGGGACAGGTCAACATAGTTCGGTTGAACATGATTCTTCATACAGTTTTGTTTGGCAACACTGTTTGGTTCGATCTTGTCATGATGGTTCGGTTCGATAATACAATTCGCCCATTCCCACGACAAAAGTACTCTCGTCACCTAAGGTACAACTCTCATACTTTCCTCCCACGGTAAAATGTATTTCTCCTATAAATTCATCCTATAATAGACATAATGAAGAAAGAAAGTAGCCAAAATCTCTCATGACTCTCTTACATGCATATAATCATTTTCCTTCCACTTGAAGGATCCGATCATTATTTAACGTCGATACTAACTTGATCGTCGGTGGTCACATCCTAGGATGCAAGTGTAACATGTATCTAATCGAGACTTGCTTACGTCACTGAAAAACATATTCAAGATTACAACCCGATCAACCTGATGACAATTTTTCAGGTTACATCATGCACATCTGAATGATTGTGTTACATCATGCACATTAGAATGATTGTGTAATTAGGTAGTTTTTAAGCAATTATAACTAGTTTTTAATGTTTCGTTAGCCCACATCACATTTATCATACAAAATTGATGTAGAATAACTTTTGTCTTATTACTTGATCCCCATTTCATCAATTAGATTATTAAGAAATCAAGATCTATTAATTTTTCAAGACTACAACTTTAAGAAAATAAAAAAGCATATCAAAAGATATCTAATGACATTATAACCTAACTTTCTACACGTTTAAAAGTGGACTATTGGTTTCTTTTACGGTTGCCAAGGCCCAATCACATAAATTAAAAAATAAAAATAAAAATACAGCAGTTAAAGAGAAAAGTACAACTCATGATATCGTATACCACAATTTCAGTAAACGTAGCACCGCTGTAGTCCGGGTCGGGGCAAAAGCCTGTTAGCGAGCTTCTCTGGTCTGCATCATACCCCTGTCTACCATCCTACTCCAAAAAAATTCATCACCCATATAGAATCAAGCAGTATAGACAATCACAAAACAAGGAAGCACAGCCCTCGGATTAAACACGATTAGCTCGTCTTCTTCTTCTAACCTGCTCTGCCTCGCACCAGATTCCCTCCCCACCAAAGAATCATAACCCGGGTCATCTTTGTCACCCGAACCTGTGTCGCAACCGATCCGACCCGCTATAACACGACAGACAATCATTGCCCGTTTCACGTTCATGAATCCGAACTCGTCCTCGATGTCATCAGGAATTGCCACGTGTCCTCTCCAGCTATTCGATAAAGTGGATATACCATCCATTTTGGGTGAAAACCCGGATCCGATTATCTCACACACATTACAATACTGATTAACACAGATGCTAGAATTACCGTTTTGCCCCAGGTCACACAGGAAAGTTGTGCAGTGAAAACGTAGCAATTCGTTGCCGTCGGCGATACATCGTTCGTCCCTCCGCCGGGAATCACCGGGTCGCGCCGCCTTTGACTTCACGATCTCCCTGTATTCTTCAAACTGGGCAAGTATCTTGGGGGTGTTGTGGATCTTCATGATCCGGGAGATAATCGGTGTTTTCCCAGGCCAACCGGTTGTGAATATGATCTGGACAATGTTCTTTCCGGGATCGTCATCCAAAAGCTCGCAAACAGCGTGCTTGATGGATTGGTGTTGTTCAAGCAATCCGGGTTTTTGGAAAACCTCACCGCAGTTCAGGCAGGGATGGATTTCATTGCGTATGGGGAGGTAATCGGATTCCGTGAGCGAACCTGGTCGGGTTGTGGATTGGGCGTCTGGTGGAATGAATGAAATTGAACGGGTTGAAGATGCTGGAGAAGGTATTTGATGAACATGAATCGAGTTCTTCTTGTCTGTAACTTGCGATGTGGATTTGGTTGAGAAGATTCGTTTTATGAATGACCAAAAGGAAGAGAGGCATCCATGGCGTTTGAGTTTGGTGGAAGTGACGCGGAGCAGAGGGACAGGAGCAGATGCTTTTCTGGGTGGTTTGGGGCGGTGGCGGTGGTGGTGGTGGCGGGTGGTGGGGTAGATGGTGAAGCAACCGAGGTGGAGTACGATGAAGAGGAGGGAGATGAAGTTTGTTAGAAGCGGACGTATATTGGCCATAAATTGGGGAATCACCAATACCGGAATGACTGGTTATGGGTGGCAGAGGGAATATAGATTGAGATATGGCGATGGCGCTGCCATGAAAGAGTATCGAAGATGGGAATGGGATGGATAAATGTGAGAAAGGTTAAGGGTGTAAGGCAAGTTCATGGCATCTTGTTCTCGTGCGTCTCATACACCCCTACTTTCTTTCCATTTTCTACAAATTTTATTATTTAATAATACTTTTTTGGAGAAGATACAACGGTGTTAAAATATTAATACGAATGCTATTTTGATTGAAAATAAATAAATAATAATGCTTAATTTAATTAATTAACTAATTTATTATTATTATTATTATTATTATTATTATTATTATTATTATTATTATTATTATTATTATTACTAATGCTATTTTGATTGAAAATAAATAAATAATAATGCTTAATTTAATTAATTAACTAATTTATTATTATTATTATTATTATTATTATTATAAATGACTATTTTGTCTAAAATGGCTAAGTTGCAGTACTAAAAATATATTATTTGTATATATATTTTTAACAAAAAGGAATTTCCATTTATGTCGGAAATACTCATTATAAAATATTTAATATCATAATCTTTTAATTAAATGCCACATTTTAAGTTAATTTATCGTATATATTTTACTTTGTTATATATATATGTGTGTGTGTTTTCTTAGATTTAAATAAATACTGAATATTTTTTTATTTTAAATTTCATAAAACTTTATCGGATTTCAAAAAAATTTATATAAATTCAAAAATAGTTTTTTTTCAAGTCGTAGTCTGACAAGAAATTTAGATGGTCTAAAATGTTTTCTTTTTGGTCAAAAAAATGCTTTAATGCGTTAGTACTGAATGATCCATTTCACACAATCTCCTCATGCTTAAAAAACAAAAAACATGATTTTTTAAAGTTCTTCATTGATAATTGTCATTTTTGTTAATATCCTGATATTTAGATGTATAAGTTATATTCGATATTTAGAGTTTTTGATAATTAGTCTTGTGGTTTTGATGCCTAAGTAGCATTGTTATTGTTAGTTTATTGCAAATCTGTAATTGTATAAGTACATGATGTGTAAATCGTGGGGTTTTTGATACCATAGTAAATCAATGTTTGGTCAATTTGCATATTTAGTCAACTAAGTTTTTTTTTTTTTTTTGCTCAATTGATCCTTAATGTTAGTAATTACCGGCTAATTACCCCCTTATGTACCCGGTAAACGGAACAACCGGTGATATTGCTTACGTGGAATAAGTTTACATAATATAATTCATTTATTTTATCCATGTAGGATTTAGAGGTCAAAATAAACACATTTATTTAGCTAGAACACTCCTTCTTCGTTCTTTCTTTTTCCCATCTTACAGTGAATACGAAGCACTAAACCTAGGGTTCGAAGTCGTTTTCTCCGATCGAAGTTAGTGAGCAGTTAACCAACCCACAATGTCTAGCTCGACGCCAAACCCTGATGGACTCCACCCTATAGTGGAGCTGAACTTCAAAGGTGTTTTTCTTAGAAATCCTTTCTCGTATAACCATGGTATCAACTTCACTTTCAATGATCACGATTTTTCTAGAATGACATACGGGGAATGTGTCACCTTTCTCGAACGGTTCATGCAAGAAAGTATAAAGAAGTTATACTATTGTGAACCAGGTAAGCCCTTAATATCTGGGATAACTGCTATCGCTAATGATGCAGACTATGGTGGTTTCATTTTTCAAGCATATGGGACAGATGGTAAAATTTGTATGTATGTGGACCATGATGGTCAAGGAATAGAAGATTGGTTTGGTTCTGAAATAGAAGAGGGGGATGGAGATGATTCTTGCATTGATGGTGGTGAAAAATTGAGGACGAAATTGATAACCTAACAGATATGGATGTGGACTTTAATGAGGACATAGTCACTATGAATAGGACAAAGGGTGATGAATTTCTAAATATATTATGTGGTGAAGAGGAAGAGGGAAATGATAGCAACATAAATGATCATGATGGGCATGAAGAGGATGCTAATGTAACTCAACAACATTCCATTTTTAATGAGTTAGTTCCATGGAAAAAGCAGATCCCAATACTTGGTATGAGGTTCAAAGATACATCTCAATTAAAATCGATGTTATGCAACTATGATATTACGAATGGGTACCAACTTTGCTTTGAGAAAAAATGATAGGAAAAGATTGTTGGTTAAGTGTTGCAAGGGTGAGTGCTCATTCAGGTTGTGGGCATCTTGGATGAGTGATGAATCAAGCTTCCAAATTAAGTCTTCAAAGTCAGTCCACAAATGTGCAAGGAACTACAAGTTAGGGTCCATGGTCACTTATGCTTGGATAGGGAGTCATTATACAAGAGAATTCTTACTTAGACAAAAGATGAGTGTTAGAAAGCTAAGAAAAGCTGTGTCACAGAAGTTTGGCATTCATGTTAGTGTTGGTTAATGCAGTAGAGCTAAGAAATATGTACTCCAACTAATAGATGGTACCCTAGTTGAACATTATGCAAAGTTATGGTCGTATGCAGAAGAGATTAGGAGATCAAATCCAGGTAGCATGGTGAAGCTTGATGTAAATCATATGCCAGATGTGTAACACCGTAAATTTCAAGACAATTTTTTCGAATTTTATAAAAACATAATTCACTTAATATTCATAAAACAACCATGTTTGAAATTCAATTCAAGTAATACAAAAATCCCAAGATCTCAAAATCATAAATCCCATGCGTGTGTACAGATCAAGTCGGCACCTTCCCACGGTCGTCACTAGTACATGAAACAATAACACCAAACACTGTAAGCACAAAGCTTAGTGAGTTCCCCAAAATACCACATATAACACATATTAGCCACTCGAGGCTATAACTCTGTGGGTCCGTGCACCCAAACTCTGTGAACCCTCAGGTTCTAACTCTGTAAACATGCACAACATAAATCACAAAGAATAATGCAGCGCAACACATAACACAAATATAGCATACAAGCACTGTATCACATAACTCTAGTTACCTACTCAAGTTATGTATAGTGAGAAGACTCACCTCGCGTATCTCGGTAACTTGCAAGTCCCTGAAATCACTCGTGCTCGATCTCCCGATCTATAGTCCTCCTATAACACAATACATCTCTAAATAACACTTCACAACTAAGGTTGACTATCCCTTAACAAGTCAACATAGGTCAACACTGGTCAATGGTCAACGGTCAACTTTGACCGGACTCAGCTAGTGCACTATAGCGACTCGGCGAGTCTATGCGCATACACTGATTTCCCTGGGATCCTCACTTGACACGACGAGTATTCTCCTAGTTCGACAAGTTCCACCTAGCACGAGTTGTGAGGCCTCCACGACTCAACTCGCCGAGTCTCAAGAACAACTCGGTGAGTCCCAGCTTGACTCAGTCCACCTGTCAACCCACTCTGACTCTCCCTGACTCACTGAGTCAATCCCTTAACTCAGCAAGATCACTCACTGAGTGGTGCTGGGCAATCTTCATGCTAGTCGCCGAGTCCATGCCATGCAACAACTCAAACTCGCTCTTGAGGTTAGATCTGTTCCATACATTCATAGATCTGGCCTCCCCAAGCATGATAATCACGTAAAGTCCAAACCTTGGGGATCAAACAACAACTATTTGCTCATAAATGATGTTTTAGCGCCATATCTCATAACTCTAAGCCAATACTCTCATGAACACTCATAAAGATTAAGGAATACAACTCTTCTGGACCTCTATGGATCTCATCTCAAGCCTTATCATGAATAGGGACGAAATGGACATCAAATCTAACCAACAAAGGGGTCAAGAAACCCTAAACCACCATGTTCATCATAAAAACGAAAAAGGAAACCAAGATATACTTCCAAGATGATGCTCTGAGCTCCAAAAATCACAGAATATCCACTTCCCTTGCCTTCTCTTAGCTAGAACCTCCTTTGCCTTGCCAAACCAAGCTCCAAAGGTCAATAATGGCCTCTTTTCTCTCCCAAAACGCTCAAATCTCTTTAGGGTTTCTCTCTAGGGGATGGTGGCCGCAAATGATGGCCATAAGCCCCTTTAAATAGGTCTCAAACCTTGGGAATTAGGGTTTCATTACACAACGTGGACTCGCCGAGTCCACTCTTGGACTCGCCGAGTCCAGACACAAATCCGTGTACAGACACAAATCCGCGTCCAAAACCGCGATCCTACTCAGCGAGTTTGAGCTCCAACACGCCGAGTCCACTCACAATCTTCCAAAAATACACTAATAATAAATACCTGGAAATTCCGGGCTATTACAATTCTCCCCACTAGAACTAGACTTCGCCCTCGAAGTCTCACTCTGGAAATAACTCCGGATGCTGCTCGCGCATCTCACGCTCCGGTTCCCAGGTCATCTCGGACCCCTTCCGATGCTGCCACTGAACCAAAACCAAAGGTACCTCCTTGTTCCTCAGAACTTTGATTTTCCGATCTCTGATTGCCACTGGTCTCTCAGCATAATTCAGGCTCGCATCCACCTGAATATCCTCTAATGGAACCACTGCCGACTCATCGGCTATACACTTCCGTAATTGCGACGCATGGAAAGTGTCGTGAATCTGCCCCAACTCTGCTGGCAAATCCAAACGATAGGCTACCCTGCCTACCCTCGCGACTACCCATAATGGTCCGATGTATCGGGTCCCCAACTTGCCCCTCTTCATGAATCGAATCACTCCTTTCCAAGGAGAGACCTTCAGGAGCACAAAGTCGCTGACCTGGAACTCAAGTTCAGACCGGCGTCTGTCCGCATAACTCTTCTGTCGACTCTGAGCAGTCAGTAACCTCTGTCTGACCTGTTGGATCTGCTATGTCGTCTGAAGTACGATCTCAGTGTTTCCCATAACGCACTGTCCGACTTCTCCCCAGCAAATGGGGGTCCGACACCTCCTCCCATACAACAGCTCAAAGGGCGGCATACCGATGCTCGAATGATGGTTGTTGTTGTAA